AGGTTTTGATCTTGCTGATGTTGACTTTGACAGTTCTTTATCATCGTTTTCTTTTTCCAGTTGGCGACACTCATTGTTTAAGTGACCAATTTTTTTACAATGTTCATAACGAGGTCGTAACTTTGTTCTTTGCAGTCCGTCCTGGTTCCTGTTTCTTTCTTGTTTGCGAAACGCGGATTCACGAAACGATTGTTCTATTTCGCGGGCACAATTAAGCAAATCTTTGAAAGAGTTTATTTCACTACGCGTAAGTCTCTTTCGAATCTTCAGACCATATCCAGCTGCATTTCTTCTGCGACACTATATGGCAATTGTGCGATTAAAGCTCGAAATTTCGCAACGAAGATATCAGTGGCTTCGTGTTGTGTTTGCTCACGAGCAAAGAGTTCTCGGAAGACTGCATGAGGGGGTAATTTCTTCAAATACACTTCTCTGAGGATATTTACTGCACTCTGCCAGTCTTTCGTCGACGGTTTGATTCCTTGCCACCAAGTAGCAGCGCTAGACTCGAGCAACATTGAAAGACCACGCAGTGCATTTTCGTCACTGATATTGGTGCAGTCTTTATATGTTATGATGTTGTCTAGAAAAGCTTCTACATCGGCGTCATCTGACCCATTAAATCTGGCACTACATTTAGCAAAACTATCTGCAGATCGAGTGTAAGAAGTTGGTGATACGCTTCGTCGTGCCTCGGACTGTTGTGTAGTTGCAGCTTGCTCCTTAATTGTCGATAGTAGTTGCTTAAATTGGTCAGCCGATAGAGTAACTGAAGCTGGAATATTAAGTTTCGGCGGCATCATGGAATTTTGCACACAATTAACCGCTAATGTACAATGGGGTGCTTCGAGCCCCACGTTGGGCGGCAATTATAATATGATTCATTTATTTAAATGTACAAAACATCAACAAAATTAAATATTCAGATACTATTTTCAATCTTTATTATTATTATTATTATTATTAAGGACTCGATCGGGCAGAGGATATGCCTGTTATGCCCGCGACAAATTGAGTAGTGGCTTTATCTTCAGTATAACTTAGAGATTTTTTGTCGCACAATATGTATCATATTTCGATTTAAAACTTACAACAGATGAAGCTAGCACTATATCCTTGGGTAACGCGTTCCAACTGTCGAACACCCTATTCGTTAAAAATTTTTGGCGAGCTAAAGTGCAAAACTTCAACTTACGCAACTTTAGGGGATGCCCTCTGGTGCGGTCTGAGGTATTGAGAGGGAAGAGATGCCTCATTGGGAAAAAACTATTACTCAAGGCCTGATAAGTAATGATTAGATCACCTCGTTTGCGCCTCTCTGAAAGAGGGCAGAAATGCATTAGTCTAAGCCGTTCGCAGTAAGGAGGCCGATTTATGCCGAACGGAAATCTGGTTGGTCGACGCTGAATGGATTCCAAGCACAGAATGTCTTTTTGAAGTATGGGAGACCAGACACCATTAGCAAACTCTAGCAAAGGCCGCACATATGTTTTGAAAAGTTTAGAAAAGACTAATGGACTAGCTTTGGAAAATGTTTTAGTCAGAAGAAAGAGCATTTTATTTGCTTTACTCGCAACTCGCTGGACGTGCTCAGTCCATCACAAATTGGAGGTGACAACAACACCCAAATCAACGTGCGAATCTGTACATGAAAGAAGTAAGTAGTCAACGAAATAAACATGTTTGAGGTTATTATTCCCAAGGTGTAGGATTATGCACTTGTCTAAATTCAAAGGTAACAACCAATCATGACTCCAGTCATATATTGCTCGAAGATCTCGTTCTAAATCCCTATAATTCGCACTACTGCTGTAAAGCTTGATGTCATCTGCGAACATGGCGAAAGGCGAGGTTACGATGTTTTTGATATCGGCAGTATAAGCGACAAAGAGTAGCGGGCCAAACACCGAGCCCTGGGGCACCCCACTCACAACATCGACAGATCTACTAAGTCCATCACTGACTTTGACTCGAAATGTTCTATCGCTCAGAAAAGAATCTATCCACCCAAGAAGTTTTCCTCGTATATCAAGATATTGCAATTTGTGAAGAAGCCTGCGTTTCGGAACCTTGTCAAAAGCTTTTGAAAAATCGAGATATAAAATATCTACGGGGCGACCCAGATCGATATCCCTAGTCCAGTCTAACAAACAGCACAAAATATTCGATTGGACAGATTTCCCAGGTAAGAAGCCATGCTGTTCGGGTGGAATTAGATTGTAATTTATAAGAAACTTGACTAAATGGTCGTAGATAATGGATTCCATGACCTTGACCACGAGCGATGTCAAACTCACTGGCCTATAGTTTGATGCATCAAACTTATCACCCTTGTTCTTGTAAATTGGTTTGACAAACGCGGTTTTCCAGTCGGAGGGAAGTCTAGATTGCATGGATGATTGCGCCATTAGAATAGAAAGCGGAGTGGAAAGAGAGGCTGCACAGTTCTTTAAAACGCAGGCGGAAATAAGATCAGGACCTGGAGATTTAGTAAGTTTCAATTTTCTGAGCTTCTCTGACACCGCGTCCGCAGAGAATTTTATATCAGTGATACTATTCGAATTACAAACGCTAGATAAATTAGGCATCCCAGAAAGAGGTTCCACAGTAAACACTTTGGCAAAGGAATCGGCAAATATATCAGCAACGGTGTAACTGTTCTCATTAACCATGCCTGCCGCATCTTTAACCTTAACTGTTTTAACTGGACCTGATAAAGTAGTGCGAATATACTTAAAAAGAGTTTTGGTGTCCTTATTCTTTGCAATACGCTTCTCATAATCAAGTCTAGCCTCTCTGATGACAGTCGAAAGATGGTTAGAAAAAGCCCTGTGAGCATTGTAACTCGTTTCGGTGTCTGTTCGTTTAAAAGCTCGCCTAAGTGCTGTCTTTTTGCGTACTAGGTTTAAAATTCTCCCGTTAATCCATGGTTTTGATAAAGATCTTTTAAACGTGGAACTAGTGGTGTACTGTGTGACAGTATCAGATAGTGTTGCTTTAAAGCAATCCCAATTGTTACTTATGGACAAATCCGAAAGAAGACAATTCCAATCTAGCTTCCCTAAGTGCTTATTCAGGGCTTCAAAATCTATCACCTTCCGTTCAAGCGTGATAGTTCTCCTTCGACGTGTGTAACAAACTTGTAAACACCGCCACCCCTTCCAACCCGATCCTATCGAAAAATGGTATATCCATCGAGAGATATTAACGCATCAGTTATAAAAGAAGTCAACCATGTTTCGGACACCATTATAATCGTTGGTTTATATGTGTCAACAAAAGCACAAAAATCGTCAAACTTTGCCATCGAAGATGCCACATTAGTGTAGGCAACAGTGCTGACAAAGTAATCGGACAAAGATTTATTATCCATGAGAGGATTAAAATTGGGCATGTAGAGAAAAAGAAAAAGAGAAAAAGATGCAAAGAGAAAAAAAAAGAAAAAAGCTTTGATGCTATTTATCAAGTGCGTTTATTTGTCAATACCAACCGATTCGTCTTCCAAAGCTGACAAATCGGGAACCAGATCGTCCCCATTTTTCTCTTTTGCCATTGCTTTTTTAATTTTTCTCTGCACCTTCTTACACCTATTTTTATGCTTTTTTTATGAATGATAGGATAAACGTCGTACAATAAAGTGAGCACCCCGTTAACATCTTTTGTATATGAACGCGTTAGTTTTAAAATGTCACCATCACCTACTGCTTTGTCCATGAACTCCACGACTTTGTCAAAGCTCAATGGGTACTGATCCGTGTTATCAATTAAATTTTTAGCTGGGGCAAGTAGCTCAGAAGTAGGAGTTAGACTTTCACAAGAGTTGCTAGGTCTAATTTTTTTTGGTCTACGATCATCATCAGCAGGAGTACCTCTAGTAAGATCTGTCAACCTTTTTTTAATCAGCCCACTCTTCTTTTTTTAATCAAAAAATAAGTTCCGTTACACGTTTCTTTAAATTCTCCAGAAGACATCGTCAACGCATTTGCCACATTTTTCCAGTCCTCCCATGTTTCCTTTCAGAATTCAACAGATTTTCCAGTGCTTTCGTCTGATTATCTTTATTTATATTCAGCATTACTTAGAATGACATTTTAATTGCTCTGAATAAAATCAAAAATTCTTTCACTGCTGGGCCTGACCAAATCCCAGGTTTTGTGATACACGATTGTAAAAATATTGTTGTTCAACCTTTATTAGCAATTTTTAATGTTGCCCTTACTACTGGTGCATTCCCAAAAACGTGGAAGGCTTCGAAAGTCACGCCAATCTTCAAATCGGGTAATAATGCTGAAATAGATAAATATCGTCCTGTATCAATAATAAATAACCTTTGAAAAGTTTCTAAAATCGTTCTGTAGGTATTCATTTATCTATCCTCATGTCCGAAAATATATCTCTCCGCAGCAGCATGGATTTGTTGATAGGCGCTCAACAATAACCAATTTAGCTTGTTTTTCCCAATTTCTGACAGAAGCTATTGATAATGGGTCCCAAGTAGACGTGATTTATACAGATTTTGCTAAAGCTTTTGATCGTCTTGATCACTTAATGTTATTATCTAAACTTCGGTTATGGTCTCTGCGGCAATATTTTCAATTTACTTCGCTCATATATAACCAGCACATCGCGATATGTTTTTTATAATGGTCACTCTTCTCAGATTTACGATGTCACATCAGGAGTTCCACAAGGAGCTAATCTTGGTCCGCTACTTTTCATTTTATTTGTGAACGATTTGCTTACCATTTTCAAGAGTCAATCATTAATATACGTGGACGATGTGACATTATAATCAGGCAATGTAAATAAAAAAAAAATGTAATAATCCAAATTAACTAAAATTTTCGGTGCAAGGTTAGAATAAATGGCACTATTTGACATATTAACGACAACGGTGTCAATGGTTTTTGTCGTGGCTAGGTAGATAATATTTCTAGTTGCCCTCGTCAGTAAATATTTCGTGTTGGTCTATATTTCTAATTACTTTCTTTTTTTTTCAGATTATGTGTTCCAGTATTGATTTTGTGCTTCCATTCTGACACCAGTGCCCAAATGGCGGTCAGTTGGTTTGATAACTGGAGCCCTCCTCCCAACGTATTTCCAGACCACCACCCATTCCATGCTCCACTTGGTAATCAAAGCTACAACCATCAAAGAACCGGTAAGCTAATCTATGAAGGATAATCTCACGTAATACTTCGTTTACGATCAAGGTGAAAAAAATCCCTGCAATGTTTTTCTTAACCAGAGAAAGGCGAATGCATAATAAGTTTTTTATGCACCAACACGCTACAATTAAAGAAAACAAACAGATTATGTGTGATCACATTTACACATTAATTACAATCTATTCTGGGGCGTTTTTATTGAATGGTATCGAAGGAGTCTAATTGAGTTTTTGCAGGAAACGTAATTACATGGTTGGGGGGAAAGCGGTGGAACTGATCGTTTACTTTATTGCATAAATTTTCGGAGGTATTGCGTAAGGTTTTATTATAAGTAATTAAAAGTAAAAGAATGAAACGTAAAAAGTGAGCGTAAATGACTCGACCAAGTTGTAGAAGAAGCATTACGGGCTTTGGGTCTGCAGGAATGTTAAAGTTTTGCAACATCTTGTATTTCATAATTATTGAACGTTCCGCAAAAAATAAAGTTATTTAAACTCATTTAAATTCTTGTCTTTACGACTTAAGTTGTTTAGCGCCAAAGTACCCTTTAGTTACTTATCTAGATCATTTGACTGAACTGGTTAATGATAATTTACATACATCCTTCGAGCTGTTAATTACTGCACGATAAAACGTGCAAATTGGAATATTATTGTAATTAATATCATTTAACACCTCAAAAATGAAACTTAAATAGTGTTGAAAGAGACAAAACAACTAATATTCAAGCCTAAAAGCGCCCTTTCCATGTCGCAAAATTATAAGTAAGATTAACGCATTAGAGTACGAAAAAATAGGTCTTCCATTTCCGTCTATCTATCTGTCTGCCTGTTGCCTGTCCGAATTTTTATTAGACAGATAATCTCCAAAACTACTAAACCGATTGTTTTCAAATTCTATATGTAGATTGAATTTGAATAAAATCCCCACCATCAATAAGATGAAGTCATCTACAAAATTTGAATTAGCAAATATTATTTCAATTTTATAAAATAAGATCATTCTTCAGATGTGATTTATGAATCCGTGTTCAGTTTTTACCCTAGATATCGAAATTTTTGGAAAAAAAATCAAAATTATATAACAACATTTTGCAATTTAACTTTTCCTAAGGTTAATCCCCTTCTGAAAAATTGATGACGTCATTTCCATTTCTTGATTTTTCTTGACAATTTTTCAATATTGCAATTTTTCTTTTTTCGATTTTTCAGTTTCTCAATATTTGATTTTTCGATTTTTCAATTCGACGTTTCCCCAAATTTTTGTTTTTTAATTTTCATTTTTCCGATTTTATAACATAACTTTTCGTTTTTTCATTCCCTTTATTTCTTCCATCTTACTTTTGATTTTCTAATTTTTAGTTTACTTAGTTCTTCAAATTTTCAATCTTTGATTTTTCAATTCCTCGATCTTTCAATTTTCCAAATTTCTCAATTTTGTAATTTTTGTATTTATCCGATTTTACGTTTTCTTTAAGTTTCCGTATTTGATTTTACAATATTTCGTTTTTCTCAACTTTTGATATTTCTATTTTTCAATTTTTCGTTTCTTCAATTTTTCAAGTTCTTGACTTCCACTTTTTAGATTTTTCAAAGCTTTCGGTTCATTCTTTTTCGTTTTTCATTTATAATATTTCATTTTTTGCAATTTTGCAGTTTTTACACTTTTTTTATCCGAAAAACTGAAGAAACGAAAAATTTCAAAATCGAAAACGTGGAAAATCGAAACATTGCAAATCGAAAAATGAAACGAAAAGTAAAAATTGAGAATTTTATAAATAAAAAAAGAAAAACGAATCGAATCGGCAAATTATGGAATCATCAAAATTGTAATTTCGAAAAATTGTAATATTGAAAGATTAAAAAATTGAAACTCGAAAAACTGAAAAATCGAATAAGTGAGAAATTTTAAAATCCGATAATTAAAAAATGGGAGAAATTCTAAAATCGTGACAACTGAAAAAGTGAAAAATGTTAAAAATTATAATTAGTATTAGATACATATTTAAAATGAAACCTAGAAGAATTGAAAAGCAAAAATTGAAGGATTTAAGAAAAATCTAAAATGGAAAAAAAGAAAAATTGAAAAATCTAAAAGTTGGAAAATCGAAAAATTAAAAGCCAAAAAATTTTACATTGAAAAAAAGAAAAAATGGAAAATTAGATCAATGAAAAATGGAGCAACTGATAAAATAAAGAAAATAAAAACGAAATGAAAAATTGAAAAATATATAAACTGTAAAATTAAATATTGAAAACTACAAATCGAAAAATTGTTAATTTACAAACATCCAAAAATTGGAAAATGGGAAAACTGAAAAATTTAAAAATGAAAACTCGAATATATGCATATCGTAAAATTAAAGAAATAAAGAAAATGAAAAATCTAAAAATTGAGGAAACGAAAAATTGTAAACCGAAAATTTGAAGGAACGAAAAATTGAAATATTCAAAATTGAAAAATTGCTAAATCTACAAACTAAAAAAACAAAAAAATGAAAAATTGAAAAATCGCAAATCGAGAAATTGGAGAGACGAACAAAAAAGAAAAATCGGACGATTGAAGAAACAAAAAATTGATAATATTGAAATTGAAATAAATTAGAAAATCGAAACACTCAAAAATCGAAAAATTTGTAAAAAAAGCAAATCAAAAACCAAAACGAAAAATTGGAAATCAAAAATTTAAAGAAATAAAAATTAAAGAATCCAAATATTAAAAAAATTAAAATCGAAACATCTAACAGTTGGAAAATCGGAAAACTAAAAATTTTTTAAATGAAAGCTCGAAGAGATATATATCGTAAAAAAATAAGAAAAATGAAAAAAGTATAAAATCGAAATATTGAAAGATCGAAAAATTGTAAAAATACAGAAACTAAAAAACCCGAACTAAAAATTGCAAATCGAAAACTCGAAGAAATGAAAAATTAAAGAATTCAAAAATTAAAAAATTAAAAACTAAAAAATCGCGAAATCAATAAACTGAAGAAACAAAAAACCGACAAATCAAGATATTTAAGAAACGAAAATTAAAAACATTAAAAATGAAAAGAAAAAAATTATAAAATCGAAATATTGAATAATCGAATAAATAAAAAATAAAGATGCATAAAAATTAAAAATTAAAAATTAAAAACTCGAGAAACTCAAATAAAAAAATTGCGTGAAAAATTTCATATTGAAAATAGGAAAATTTCGAAAATGAGAACAATGAAATACTGATGAAATTAAAAAATAAAGAAAATGAAAAACCGTCACGAAAAATTGCATATCGAAAAATTGAAGAAATGAAAAACGGAAAAATCTAAAAATTGAAAAATTGAATCATAAATAAATAAAAAAAAATTGCAAATTTTACAACCTGAAACATCCAAAAGTTGGGAAATCGGAAAACTGAAAAATTTGAAAATGAAAATTCGAAGATATACATATCGTAAAATCGAAAAAACAAAAGACTGAAGAAACGAAAAATTGAAAACATTGAAATTGAAAAAAAAATTACAAATCGCAACATTGAAAAATCCAAAAAAAGCAAATAAAAAACCAAAACGTAAAATTGTAAATCGAAAATTTAAAGAGATAAAGAATTAAAGAATCCAAAAATTAAAATTGAAACAATTAAAAGTTTGAAAATCTGAAAACTGAAAATTTTTAAAATGAAAACTCGAAGACTTTCATATCGTAAAAAAATCGGAAAAATTAAAAAATTATTAAGAAGAATTGGAAATTAAAGAAAATAAAACATCGAAACAAAAAAATTGAAGAAATGAAAAATTGAAAAATCTAAAAACTGAAAAATTGAGTTATAAATAAATAAATAAATAATTAAATTAAATGTAAATACTGACAACTCGTGAAATTGCAAATTTACAAACTGAAACATCCAAAAGTTGGGAAAAATTTTAAAATGAAAACTCGAAGATATACATATCGTAAAATCGAAGAAACAAAAAAATGATAAATCAAGAAACTGAAGAAACGAACATTATAAAAATTAAAAATGAAGAAACAAAAAAGTAAAAATCGAAACATTGAAAAATGAAATAATTAAAAAAATGAAGAACATGAAAAACTAAAACGAAAACCTGCATATCGAGAAGCTCAAATCAAAAAATTGCAATATCTAAAAATTGGAAAATTTCACATCGAAAAATTTGGAAATTAGAACAATGAAAAACCGAAGAATTAAAAATTAATAAAATAAAAAACCAACACGAAAAATTGCATATCCAAAAATTGAAGTAATGAAAAATTGAAAAATCTAAAACTGAAAGATTAAATTATAAATAAATAAATAATTGAATTAAATGTAATACTGAAAACTCATGAAATTGCAAATCAAAAAAAATTGCAAATTTACAAACTGAAGCATGCAAAAGTTGGGAAATTGGAAAACTGAAATATTTTAAAATGAAAACTCGAAGATATACATATCGTAAAATCTAAAAAACAAAAAAAAGGAAAAATCGGAAGTCTGAAGAAACAAAAAATTGAAAATATTGAAATTGAAAAAAAATTAGAAATCGAAAAATTTGTAAAAATAAAGCAAATAGAAAACCGAAACGAAAAATTGCAAATCGAAAATTTAAAGAAATGAAAAATTAAAGAATCCAAAAATTAAAAAATAAAAATTGAAACATCTAAAAGTTGGAAAATCGGAAAATTGAAAATTTTTAAAATGGAAGCTCGAAGGGATAGATATCAGAAAAAAATTGGAAAAATTAAAAAATTATAAAATCGAAATATTGAAAAATCGTAAAATTGTAAAAATAAAGAAAATAAAAATCCAAACCAAAAATTGCAATGCATTGAAGCAACGAAAAATTAAAGAATCCAAAAATTGAAAAATTAAAAACTGAAAACTCGAGAAATTTTAATCGAAAAATTGCGAAATCCACAAACTGTAGAAACAAAAAAATTATAAGTCAGAAATTGAAGAAACGTCAATTATAAAAATTAAAAATGAAAAAACAAAGAATAAAAAATAAAGAAAATAAACAACCGAAACTCAAAATTGCATATCCAAAAATAGAAAAAATGAAAAATGAAAAATTGAACAATCCAAAAACTGAAAAATTGGATTATAATTAAATAAATAATTAAATTTATAATGTAAATACTGAAAATTCGTGAAATTGCAAATCGAAAAAACTGCAAATTTATGAATCATCCAAAATTTGGAAAATCGGAAAGCAGAAAAATTTTAAGCTGGAATAGATACAAAATTGTAAGAATTAAAAAATTATAAAATCGAAATACTGAAAAATCGAAAATTTGTAAAAATAAAGAAAATAAAAAACCAAAACCAAAAATTGCAAATTGAGAACTCGAAGAAACGAAAAATGAAAGAGTCCAAAAATTGAAAAAACAAAAAATTATAAAAACATGAAATGCCGAAAGGAAAAACTGCAAATCGAAAAATTGGGAAATAAAAATTAAAAACTTGAGAAGCTCAAATCAAAAAATAGCAAAATATGAAAATTGAAACATTTAAAATTTGGATATTTGAAAAACTGAAAAAAAAAATGACAAATTGAAGAATTAAAAAATTCACGCTACAGGTTTTTACTTTATAGAGCAAAACAAAAATCGCAAAAAAATTCATAAGTTTTCAACGAAGCGGCGAGGAAAGTTCTGTCCAAACAACCTTTGGCCATTTTTTTTATTTTAATGATGTTTAAATTAGGTATATGATTTCCTACACCAGGGCAAGATTCCGTTAACTATTCTGTTGCTCTCCATTTAAAGATAAGTTTTGTAATCTTCTAAGAATTTTTGTGAGACATCCGCTATATGTGAACATTTAACTTTTGTCTGAATAGAAAGTCAAACGGAATTAACGACAGTGACAACCAAATGAATATTTATCCCAGAGGTATCGATTTTCAGTTGATTACAAAACCAACAAAAAATAAATACTTTAATATTGACGAATACCACCGGTAGCAACCAATTTAAATAACCTCCGCAAAAAATTGCAAATCTAGAACATAAATCACGAAAATTGCGTTAGGAACTAACGATAAATTCATTAATGACGCTCACAGCACCTTTTACTTCCAATTTGTGATAATTGTGAATAATGTTTTTATGAAAATCGTGACACGAAAAGAAAATGGTGCAACTCACGGTTTTATTTCTAATTAAAAAAATTAGTTCTACTGTGGGTCTTGCAACTTTTAAACACTTAACTAAATAGCTTAAAATATTCTAAAATATAGAAAAAATATCGACAACATGCAAGCGAATTTCTGTTTTGTTTGTTTAAATTAGAAGGAAACTTAATATTCATTAAAATGAGTGAACCACATTGTAATTTGCTCCGGTAACAAAAAATTTACAGTTATATGCAAGTAAAAGTCTTCTCACGTAATCTGAATAAAAACTGGAACAAAACGATTTAACCTTCGCTGCTTTGTTTACACTGAGTAATTCACTGTGACCACGTTTTAAAAGCTCCAAGTTTGACCACTGAGCTTCAATAATTGCAAATTTCTACATTCTGTGATTTATCCACCTGCTGATTTCAGACAGAATAAATAACCAAATGGCTGACTTACCGTCGGTTATAGAGTTATAATAGTTATTGTTCAGAATTAAATAACACATGTTACACAGGAACAAAATCGTAACTTTCACATTTTTAAAATTTTACGTTAAAAATTATTTCAAAATTTACTTTCACATTGATCGAGTTTTTTTTGTGCTCATAAATTAACTCAGTCAATAAATATTACATGTTATGCATTTGATTAACTTGGAAAAAATGGTACAAAAAAGCGGTGAGCGATGACGTGACTAGTTTTTCTAATTAATAAGTAGCAGGAATTACGTTATTATGCAGTTATGTAACTGAAATAGTTTGCAGATTTTTGACCTGATTATTAAGGAGTTTCAAGTGCAAGGACAATGAAAGAGAAATAACTAGTGTTGCAAGAAATTTGCAGACACAAAGGTGAAAATACATTAAAGGATGTTTTTTTTTAGTGGATAAATATGGTCCCATCTCCAACCTCTTGCCGTTCTTCCTCCAACTGGGCCTACTCGACGTTCCCAATAACTACGAGCCCGCCGAACGCACAGGCCCCTTTGTGACATGGTACCAATGGAAAATGATGGATTTTCAATATGAGACACCTGAAGATCGAGAGTTCGCCTTATCAAACGGAGATTTCATTCCTGAAAATAATCTTCCACTGGGAGTGGAAGTCTATAAGGACCGCCTTTTCATCACCATGCCCAAGTGGAAGCCTGGAGTTCCCGCTACTTTAGCTGTTTTGCCAAAAACACCCAAAGAACTTACACCAAAGCTGGTACCATACCCCAATTGGGATTACCATAACACAAGTAAGAAATTAGCACATCTGAATTATTAATATTTGCTGTCATAATATTATACTGTGTCTTCGGATAATCTTAAGATAAAGCCTACAAATGGAGCAGTTTTGGCTGATATTCTATTCAAATTTTTTCGTAAAATTATTTCAGACTTTTGATATGGGACTAGCGAATCAAGCGATGTGGAAAATATTTGAAATTAGTCTAGGAAAAAATTGTTACTAATTTTTTTATATAAAACCATACAATGGGAAAAAAACTTTCTAGCAGATGGTCGTCATTTACTAAAATTGTTAAACAATGTTTGTTATAATTTTTTTTTATTTCAATACTATAAGGTGTTACTCCTCCTACAAAATACTGTAACCCGGTCTAGCCAGTAAAAAAGGGTTTGTTTACAGTTGTTAAATCTGTACAAATTTTGTTTTTAATGTTTTGTTCTAAAATAATTAGGGGAGCAAATATGTTCAAATTTCTGCTTTTGCATGTAAAGTCCCTATGTTCAGAAAACGATTCTACACCCGGTATAGTATATACACAACCACAAAAAAAGTGTTCTCCTTGAGTTATTTTGTGTTATAAATTTTCAGCAACTTCCCGAGCGTAAGCTAAGGAAGTATAGTAATCGAGTCCATTGGAGGACCCGCTACTTCCATGTTTTCTCGACGTTTCATGATCCCTAGAGAACGAAAAAATAACTTCTGTTTCCCTCTGTCTGCCTGTCTATCTGTCTGCTTTCTGTCCGGATTTTTATTAAACAGATAATCTCCAAAACTACCAGATCGATTGTTGTCAAATTCTGTATCTATGTTAGGCATATCATGTAGATGGTAAAATGCTAACCAAAACTGTTTTTTAATTTTTCCACTTTTCAGTTTTTCGATTTTTTAATTTCCAATTTTTGACGTTTCTAAATTTTTAGTTTTTGGATGACTCAATTTTTCAATATTTCAGTTTTGGGATTTTAAAATTTGTCCATTCTTCAATTTCTCAATTCTTCAAATTTTCGATACCTCGATGTCTTGATTTTTTTAATTCTCAATTTTCCGATGATTTGGTTTTACGTTTTTCCAATTGTTCCACTTTTCAATTTTTCGATTTTTAATTTTCAATATTTGACGTCTCTAAATTTTCAATTTTTCGGTTTCTCAATTTTTCGATTAATTGATATTTTTAATTTCTTCTCACTTTCTCGACTTTTCAATGTTCCGATTTTTCAGTTTTTCAATTGTTCAAATTTTCGATTTTTCAGTTAATTGATTTTTCAGATTTTTGATTTTTTCAATTTTTAAATTTTCTGATGTTTTAGTATTACGATTTTTCAATTTTTCTATTTTTAAGTTTCTCAATTTTCTTATCTTTCAATTTTAGGCGTTTCTAAATTTTCAATTTTTCGATTACTCAATTTTTCGATATTTCAATTTTAGGATTTTTCTCTTTTTTTTATTCTTCAATTTTTCGATTTCTCATTTTCTCAATTTTTGTTTTTCAATTTTTGACCTTTCCAAATTTTCAATTTTTCGAAATCTCTATTTCTTGATTAATTGAATTTTTTTTTGATTTCTCGACTTTTCAGTGTTTCGATTTTTCAGGTTTTCGATTTTTCGATTAATTGATATATATTTTGTTTTTTTTCTCAATTTTCCGACTTTTCAATGCTCCGATTTTTCAGTTTTTTAATTGTTTAATTTTTAGATTTTTCAGTTTTTTTGATTTTTCAATTACATATTTTTCGACTTTTCGATTCCTTGATTTCTTGGTTTTTCGATTCCTAAATTTTCCGATGTTTTGGTATTACAAATTTTTAATTTTTCCAGTCTAAATTTTTCTATTCTTAAAATTTTTTTGTTTTTCAATTCTTGATGTTTCTAAATGTTCAGTTTTTCGATTACTCAATTTTTCAATATTTCAGTGTTGGAATTTTTCAATTTTTTGATTATTCAATCTTTTGATATTTCAATGTTGGAATGTTTTCATTTTTCCATTCTTCAATTTTCTCGATTCTTGAAATTTTCTATACCTCGATTTCTTGATTTTTCGATTTTTCAATTTTCCCATGTTTTAATTACGATTTTTCAATTTTTCGATTGCAATTTTTTATTTTTCAGTTTTTGGGGTTTCTAAATTTTCATTTTTTCGATTACTCAATTTTTCGATATTTCAGTTTTAGGGTTTTTCTCTTTTTTTATTCTTCAATTTTTCGATTTCTTATTTTCTATATTATTAGTTTTTCAGTTCCTCGATTTTCAATTTTTCCATTATTCAAATTTTCGATTCTCCAATTTCTCGATTCTTTAAATTTTCGACTTCCCGATTTCTTGATTTTTCGATTTCTCAATTTTTCCATTAATTGATTTTTTAATTTGTTTTCGATATCTCAACTTTTCAAGGTTCCGATTTTTCAGTTTTTCAGTTCTTCAATTTTTCAAGTTTTTGACTTTTCGATTTGTCGATTTTCAATTTTTCAATATTTCTGTCTTGAGATTTTTTTATTCTTCAATTCCTCCATTCTTAAAATCTTCGATGCCTAGATGTCTTGATTTTTCCAATTTTTCAACGTTTCAGAATTTTGATTTTTTATAAATTCAATTTGACGGTTCAGATTTTTTTGATTTCTCTATTTCTTGATTAATCGAATTTTTATTTTTTCCCGACTTCTTGACTTTTCAATGTTTCGATTTTTCAGTATGTCGGTTCAATTTTTGCGATTTTTCAGGTTATTGATTTTTCAATTTTTCGAATCTTCAGTTTCTCGATTCTTCAAATTTTAGATTTCCTCAATTTCTAGATTTTTCGATTTCTCAATTTTCCGATGTTTTAATATTACAATTTTTTAATTTTTCCAGTCTTCAATTTTCTATTTCTAAAATTTTTTTGTTCTTTCAATTTTTGGTGTTTCTAAGTTTTCAATTTTTCGATTACTCGGTTTTTAGATGTTTCAGTTTTGGGATTTTTCTCTTTTTTTATTGTTCAGCTTTTCAATTTTTCGATTACTTATTTTTGGACGTTCTAGTTTGCCAATTTTTCGATTCTTCAATTTCTGGATTATTCAGTTTCGCCTCCTCGATTTCTTGACTTTTCGATTCCGCAGTTTTCCGATATTTTAGTTTCAAACTTTTCAAATTTTTCGACTTTTCAATTTTTCAATTTTGCATTTTTCCATTTTTGGCGTTTCTAAATTGTCATTTTTTTGATTTCTCGATTTTCGATTGTTTTGAATTTTTGATTTTTTTGATTCTTCAGTTTCTCATTCTTAAAATTTTCAATGTCTAGATATCTCGATTTTTCAACTTTTCAAATTTTCTGATATTTTAGTTTTACGTTTTTCCAATTTTTCAATTTTTCAATTTTTAGATTTTTTAAAATTTCAGTTTTTGACTTTTCAAAATTGTAGGATTTCTCCATTTCTTAATTAATCGAATTTATTTTTTTTTTTTAATTTCTGGACTTCGTAATGTTTTGGTTTTTCAGTTTTTCAATTTTTCGATTTTGCAAATTTTCGACTTTCGAGTTTTCCATTTTTCGTTTTTCAATTTTTGATTAGTTAATTTTTCGATGTTTTAGTATTACGATTTTTCAATTTTTCTATTTTTAAAATTGTCAATTTTTGGATTATGCAATTTTTCAATATTTCAGCGAGAGGATTTTGCAGTTTTTCGTTCAATAAACGAAAAACTGCAAAATATTATATTATATTATATTTCGATATTTTGATGTTGGAATTTTTACATTTTTCCATCCTTTAATCTCTCGATTCTTCAAATTTTCAATGCCTCGATTTCTGGATTTTTCTATTTCTCAATGTTTTAGTTTTAGGTTTTTGCAATTTTTCCACTTTTCAATTTTTCGATTTTTAATTTTCAATTTTTGACGTTTCTAATTTTTCAATTTTTGGATTGCTCAATTTGTCAATATTTCAGTGTTAGGATTTTACACTTTTTCGATTACTGAGTTTCTCAATATTTCAGTGTTGGGATTTTAATATTATTAAATTTTTCGATAATTCAGTACTAGGATTTTTCAATTTTTCCATTCTTCAATTTCTCGATTCTTCAAATTTTCGATGCCTTGATGTTTTATTTTTACGTTTTCAAAGTTTTCCACTTTTCAATTTTTGACGATTGCAAATTTTCAATTTTTCGATTTATCAATTTCTTGTTTAATCGATTTTTTATTTTTTTATCGATTTTTCGACTTTTCAAGTTTCGATTTTTCAGTTTTTCAATTCTTCAATTTTTTGATATTTGACATTTTTGATTTTTCAATTTTTCGATTTTTCAAATTTTCCGATGTTTTAGTATTAAAATTTTTCAAATTTTCTATTCTTAATTTCTTTTTCTTTTTCAATTTTTGATGTTTCTAAATTTTCAGTTTTTCGATTATTCAATTTTTTAATATTGCAGAGTTGGGATTTTTCAATTTTTCGATTACTCAATTCGATATTTTAGAGTTGCTATTTCTCAATTTTTCCAGTCTTCAATTTCTCGATTTCTCAATTTTCCGATGTTTTAGGTTTGTTTTTCCATTTTTTTCAATCTTCAGTTTTTCAATTTCTTGATTAATTCATTTTATGACTTTCTTTCAATTTCTCGACTTTTCAATGTTTTAGTAGGTATTACAATTTTTGAATTTTTCGCTTCTCTAAATTTTTAATTCCTCGATCTCTTAATTTTTCGATTTCTCAATTTTCCGATGTTTTAGGATTACAATTTTTCTATTCTTCAGTTTTTCTATTTTAAAACTGTTTTTTTTTTCAATTTTTGACGTTTCTAAATTTTCAATTTTTCGATTACTCGATTTACCAATATTTCAGTGTTGGGATTTTTCAATTTTTCTATTCTTTAATTTCTCAATTTCTCAATTTTCCGATGTTTTAGGTCTACGTTTCCCAAGTTTTCCAATTTCTTGATTAATTATTTTTTTTTGATTTCTCGACTTTTTAATGTTTTGATTTTTAGGTTTTTCAGTTGTTCAATTTTTCGATATTTCAGTCTTGGCATTTTCCAATA